GAATTAAAAATAACCTTGATTTTCGGAATCAGGGGGTGATTTTACATAAGAATTTCATAACGGCGTTTCTGGTAAAGAGAAAAAGTTGAAATTTGTGGTCCAGTGTTATTAGAGGTTTGCTTTGCAGCTAAACCCTTAATTTGACCTTTCGCCAAATCGCTGTGTTCCATCATAAAATTTACCAATATTTCAAATTGTCGAGGCTTGGTATTTGGTTGTTTGATTTTCGTTGTCCTAAAAATTATTTTTTGATTAAATAAATACATATTTTTTTTTTTTATGTAGATATGGGCAGATTATAAAAGCAATATTAAGGCGAAGTTGCGAAGGAATAAGGAGAGCATGTCGGGAACAGGAGGTGGACCATCGAGATTCTGTTCATTAACTGCGACGGAAGAACAAGTGGTTGCGTTACTGAACATAGATGAATCTATAAATGGCGAGGCTGAAACAATGCGCTTTGGTGCTACTACCTTCGGCGATCCTGCATCATCTAGCCCACTTGATTGTATAAACTTGGAGCCTGAAGAATATCCAAGTAATGATGCAGAGAATCAGCCACCGAATGCTATCCCCACTACGCCACCGATTGTTATTGCACCCCCGAATCGCGCACGCTCACTACCACTCGGCAAAGACAATTTGCTAAAACTGCAAGTGGAAAACCAATGCCAATATCACGAAAATTCGATGAAAAAGCTGGACGAAGTATGTGATAATTTAAATAGTTTAAGTAGATATTTTAAGAGGAATGTTGAGCCCGAAGAGGCTAAACTTCAATTAAAACGAGACAAATTTGAATTTTTCAAAAAAAATGAAAAAAAGAAAAGAAAACTGAAGTTAAAAGCACTGAAGCTAAAAGCTAAACTTTGTAAATAGTTGATTTAAGTGTAGTTATTTTTACGAATTCATATTTTATAAGTTTTTTGTTCCTTTGAAGACTGATGAATTGTTTTTTAAGTTATTTATTTTTTAAATAGGAGATTAAGGTACAGCAGTTGCTTGGTTGTATTAATCAAAAATAATGAATATTTTTTATTTTTATGATAATTTCAAATCCAAGCAATCAATGAATTAGTTGTATGTAATTATTTGTTGAATTGTTACCTGTGAATGAAAAGGCTAATGATTATTTTTACATTTTTTTTATATACCAATGAAACTAAACTATATTTTGTGTCTTAGGTTCCTAGAAATGTTTTACATATGTAATTTTATAAAATGAAGACTGAAAAAATACTTTTATTTTATTTATTTATTGTTGATATTTTTACAATATTCGCAATGTTTTTAATTCTGAAACTTTTTTAATACATTTTTTAAAAAAGTAAAGCTGATTATCTAACAGAAATCATAGAAATCTAAGTTGTAAACTTGTGTCAAAATTAGGAAAATATCAACAAATTTTCATACAAATAGCCAACTTTTTTACTAAAATTACTTGAAAAAAATTTGGCCTGTTAAACTTAAATATAATGTGGAAGTTCGAAGTCCATAAAAAATTCCGTTGATTTTTGATAACTTTCTTTGCGGTGTTGTGCATTTTCTTCCATATAAAAAAATATACTTTGTATGGAAAAAAATGTCCAAGACCGTCAGCAAAGAAAGTTATCAAAAATCAACGGAATTTTTTATGGACTTAGAACTTCCACATTATATTTAAGTTTAACAGGCCAAATTTTTGTCAAGAAATTCTAGTAAAAAAGTTGGCAATTTGTATGAAAATTTGTTGATATTTCCTAATTTTGGCACAAGTTTAAAACTTAGATTTATACGATTTTTTTTTAGATAATCAGCTATACTATTTTAAAAATATTTACAAAAAAGTTTCAGAATTAAAAACATTGCGAATATTGTTAAAATATCACTTTATGATTTGATTTTGAGCTACTATGTATACACATCACTTGAATTAATAAAATATTTTGCTACACCTATGCAATTAAACTGTTTCTTATTTCATCTCTTAAGTTCCTAGAAATATTTGCTGTACTTCTTGCTGTCCGCTTCCACCATATTCACAGTTTCTAATAAATGTACATCTTCTGTGGGAAAATCTTCTGAAGGTTGCAGCTCAGCTTTAAATTGCAGACAAATGTTGTGCAAAGCGCAGCAAACGTTCATTATAGCTGAAACCTTTTGCGGAGTATAATGCAGCTCGCGTGCTGCCAAAGGACATCGAAACCTTCCTTTCAATATTCCAAATACTCGTTCGATGATTGACCGTCCTTTGGCATGGCAGTGATTAAACCGGCCTCCCGCTGAATTTTCGGCGGCATTACGATAGGGAGTTAACATGCATGGTTCCAATGGATATCCTGAGTCGCCTTAAATAATTTGAATGCAATTATTAATATATTATCGATATTAAAGTATTAAGTGATGCTAACCAAGACTCCATATCCCTCTCTCGCCATTATCAAAACGAGCTTTTAAAGCCCTTCTCTCACTGGACAGGTTCCATACATGGGAATCATGGCATGCACCACCGTATCGCGCGTCAACAGCTCTAATTCTCATCTTGTGGTCACACATCTAAGAATTTTAATTTGAAAAATTGTTGAAAACCTTCATGATAATGCAATACTTACAACCATTGCATTCATACTGTGCTTCAGTTTTCTATTGTATTACAAATGCTCATTCCTTGTTGGTCTTATCATTTGTATATGTGTGCCATCTATTGCAAACAACACGCCCGGAATGCCACACTTTTCATAGAAGTATAATTTCGCCTCTGTTTCCTCTGCGTCCGTACTTGCAAAATTAATGTGTTGTTGGAAAAGCGTTTTCTCAATGGCTTTGCACACTTCAATAAGGCAGCGTGACATTGACTGCTGAGAAAGGCCTACGTGTTGGTCTTGGCCGATTTGGTGTTGGTAACCTCCTTGCCCCAATAATTTCAGTGCGGCGGCCAGCTTAATAATGGGCGGAATTGCTGTGGATTTTCGCGGAGTACTTAACTCCGGCGTAATGGCATTTAGCACGTACCGAAACGCTTGCTTGTTTAGGCGGAAATTTTGCGTAAAACTGTAAAGGGATAATTATAAATACATAAAATATAAATAGTCACAAATAAAGCAATCCTTTTACCATTTATCATTGAGAGTGAATATGTTGGCCTTATCCCTAAGCGCTCTCAATTGCACTCGTTCCGCCACTTGGCCTTCATCTGCTTCCAACCATATCGCCACTGAATCCATTTGGTAATTTTTTTTATCAAGGACTTTCACTAATATTAAATATATTTAACACAACAATTACTGAGTTCTTAAGTGCACAAACTTCACAATCGAAATGTCAGCAATTTCATCTTGTTTTGATTTTAGTTTCTTTCTTTATTTTGCTTTGCGTTTGACGTTTGGCGAACAGTGTTGCTCTCTTTTTTCGAATATCTTCGAAAGTTGATTCGAACGAACTATGGAGTACGAATGGGGCTTCGATTCGAATTTGGCTTTCGAATAGAACAACCTTTCGACTCGAACTACAGAGTAAGGGCCCAGTTCATAAATATTAAGACGACCACAGCACGGAAAGGGATTAGTATTCCATATGGTATCACAGCGCTACTATTCTTGGCCTATGTTTGAAAAGGATTCTGCTCTTTAGTCGTTTCAATGTAAACTAAAAATGTTCACTTTACATACCGCTTTTGCTTTTAAACGCTATTTTTGTATTGGCCAACGCAAAAGATCTTATTAGGCGTCGCGAAGTAAGCGGGCATTGGCTAGTAATTAATAAATGTGTTGCCTGCATAACATTTTTCGCCACTACAGCCCTGTATTTAACTATGAAGAAGTTGAAGAAAACGATAGCGAAGTATGTAGATAGTGAAGTAGATAGATTTCCACCAACAGAAATTTATGTGAAAAGTGAAGCACAAATAATTGGATACGAAATTGCTAATAAAATTACCCTTATATTTAATTAAAACAAGTTTTGTAATTAAACAATAAACAATTTATGCAAAAAAAAACATTTAAAGACTTTTTACTATTTTCAAACTCGAAACGCTCTAGCCCCAACTCAAGCTGTCGCAGTTTAATTTGGTTTTTATTATTTTTTTTTCATTATGCCTTTTACCAATTTTAATTCGTTTACTTGCATTTTGCGTTGGTCGCTAAAATTTAAAATGTTCCTTTGATCATTTACATTTATATTTTTGTTTTATTCTCTTTCTATTCCACTGGCTTTTACTTGATCGGAATATTTCCGATAAAAAATTTCCGATACTCGGAATGCAGAACATCAAATTTCCAATAGAATTCCGATTCTAAGTGGATCGAAATGTAGAACAAGGCGGAATCGGAAATAATATTCGATTGTCGGAATGCAGAACACCAACAATCGGAAACAAATCCGATTCCGATTCGAATCGGATTGCAGAACAGGACCGAAAAAGTAACACTGCCGCATTAATTGCAGCTCGAATACACCCTTAGTTTGACAACAATTCATTAGGAAAGAAACTTAGTTAGTTTAATATCAGTAAATTAAATTAAAGAATAAAAAAATTATTAAAAAAAGAAATAATCTAATATATGAAAACCTCGTGTCACGGTGTTTGTGGTCTAACTCCTCCTAAACGGCTCTACCGATCTTTATGAAATTTTTTGTGTATATATGGTAGGAATGAGAATCGGATGTAAAGTATATTTCAAACCGCAAGGTGCAGGGGGTGTGGCACCTCCCATACAAACTGAATTTTTCATACTACATGTCTTTGGAAGTGTTCATGGTAGAGTACTGGAACTTGGCATGTACAAGATCGCAGTCATGAAGAAAAATTGTGGCTATTGGAAAAAGGGGCGTGGCACCTCCCATACAAACCGAATTTTTCACACTGCATATCTCTGGAAGTGTTCATGGTAGAGTACTGGAACTTGGTATGTACAAGATTTATAAAATCAAACGCATAGTCATGAAGAAAAATTGGCGCTTTTGAGGAAAAGGGGCGTCGCACTTCCATACAAACCGAATATTTCATATTGCGTATCTCCGGAAGTGTTCATAGTAGAGTACTCGAACATGGCATGGAGATATATGAAACCAATCGCATAGTCATGTAGAAAAATTGGAGCTATTGGAAAAAGCGCCGTGGCATCTCCCATAAAAACCGAATTTTTCATACCGCATATCTCCGGAAGTGTTCACGGTAGAGTACTCGAATATGGTATGGAGATATATGAAATCAATCCGATACTCTTTGAGAAAATTGGGGCTATTTGAAAACGCACTGATACAATTACGTAACTTTGTATGCATATGCACCTTTGCAAGGTTATTTAAGAAGGCAACGGAAATATGCTTTCTGACAACCACCAAACCGTAATATTAGAAGATAAATGCTTCACTGAAAATCATGAGCCTGAACTGACCAAAATGCTTCAATACAAAAAATGTATTTTGGCTGGGACGAAGTTCGCCGGGTCTGCTAGTAATAAATAAAAAAAATGAAAAAAATTCCGCTGCCCGAGGATTCGGACTCGGGCCTCGGATCTCTAAACTGGCAGTCTAGTGCGTTGCTCACTCGGCCATTGCGACTGCTGGGGCAGCGTGAGCAAAGTGACACATGTACATAAATGTCTATTGTTTCCTTTGCAGCAGCTTATTTGGAATCATCAAAGTGCAGCATTCGAAACTGATTACGATATTTTCGAGTTCACTCGGATTCAATGATAGTATGTTTTCGTATTCGTAATAGGCATACGAATTCGTGGATTTTCTACGATGAATTCAATGATAGCCCCGAATAAGGTCATCAAATAATTTTAAATTAACGTGTTTTTTGATGAAGGTGAATAAATGGAACGTGCCGGTCCAGTACCAGTGCCGGTTCCAGTATTGGGAATAGAGCAGAATATAATAGTGTTAGTTTACCCGGAACAATGGAAATAATGAAACAATATAAATTAATATTTAATATAATTTGCTAAAGGGTTGTTTCGCATATGTTGGATTCATATCTGCAAGTGCACATATGGGTTAAATTGCACTTCTGCCAACCTTTCCAACTATAACATTACAAACGACATTTTGTTCTAATTCTCTTTTTCGTCACTATTAAAACGTGCGATCGAACCGGATTCCGCAGTCGGGACTCAAGTGTATCTTTAAACTATTAGGTCTGTTCAGGATCTTGTACATATGCTCTTGCATTTGCATATTCGGTGCATTTGTAACTTCACAACAATAAAATGAACACGGTTGCCATGGCAGCAAGCATACAAGCAATTCCGGAACAGTCCAATTAATTTTTATAAATTCACTGATCTTAATGTCTCTCGACTGCACGGCATAGAACAAAGCCTAGAAATCGTTGTAACGACTGTAGCAACTAAATCGTAACCTGCATTGTTTGAGGTTACGTTGGACACGTGATCACCCATATCGGTTAGTCCCTCAATCATTGTCGTCAAGCTCTACTAACGGGAGACCCAAGAAGCTTGCAGCTTCGATAGGGTCTGTCCATAAGGACAGAGGCGTTAGTAGAGTGGGGTTCAGTGGGCAAGCGAAGAGATGTCTCGAGTCATGGGGTGTCTCTCAGCATGCCTGGCACTCGTTTGGCACATCTGCGTTTATTCTGCTTAGGTACGAGTTTAACCTGCTGCAGTAGCCAGGTCGAAGTTGTGCTATTGTGGTCCAAGTCTCTAGAGGCAGACGAAGCTCTGTCTTTTCCACGTCTGGCGGTTGTGTGCCCAGAACGACATTTACAGGTCGAGAGTCTATCAGCCCTATCGCCAATTTCATATGAATAAATCGTTCCCATAACTTAACTTGCAAAACAAAAACAAATTGAGAAAACTTGTTTTTGTTTTGGGAATATTTGTTCACGTGAAATTCGCGACAGGGCCGTATATAACTCGAGACTGACTCCCTGTGAATGCCGTTCAAGGCCTGTCGGTATGCTTCGGACGTGCCGCGCCGACAGTTCTTACGCGAGCAAGTTTCTGTTCAGGTGCCCACGCCGGTGACACCCTACTAAGAATTGCTTGCAGAGTATTGTGTTATGCTACTTATTTAATAGTGGCATATGAGCCTCGTCGTGCAGATGTTGCGGCGACATCAGAAGGCATCCTGTCGCTGTCCGGAGTGCCGTGGTTTGGCTGGTCTGTAGCTTCATCCACTACGTCCTGCTAATCCCCGACGGCCACACGGGCGCTGAAATCACGCGATTTCATTCCGAAACCGAAATTGCAAATCGTACGAATTAATTTGAGGTGTGATAAAATTCCCCCGAATTTCAATGAAGTTCGAGGCTAAATTCGAAATAGCAGATTGTCAGACAACAGATATTTCTATTTCACTTTGAATTGAAGATTTGAGTTAAAATGAGCGTTTTTATTCTTTCTGCTTATTTAATACATCAAAACAACTGGAAAAGTAAGGGGAAACGACGCACAGTGGCACTTTTGCTTGGTTTAGGAGGGAATAATTGTTTTTTTTTTTAAGTTGCATTTTTGAAATTTTTTTAAAGTGGCTTATGCACGCAATGCCTACTGTATATAACGGTAGTTAGCATTTCTATGAATTCTTATTTTTCTGTGCGTAATTAGCTGTCAAACTGTTGGTCTCTGACGATAAGTTAAAAAGTGCCATTAGCAGCAGTAAATTAACGTTAGCTTTGAAGCTAAAAAAAATTGTTCTTTGGAAAAAAACTTTAACTATTTTTGGATTAATTGAAAGTTAAGGGTATGTATGTTTATTTACAAGTGTTTCAAAGATTTTGGATTTAGCTTTTTATATTAAATTGTGAGTCTCTTGATGCGCCCTATGCTTGCCTTGAAATAAATAAAAAATTTGAAAAGAAAAGGTTGCCAATAATTTTGTCCACGCTAATCCAGAACCATTTTTAAATTTTTATAATAATTAGATATTACTGCATACAACCCAAGTGAATTCATCTGCAGCCAGGTGCATCTTTGGATATAATGGCCATAACAAGGAGGCAGTTGTATGATGTGTGGGTCGCAGAACCGAGACATAACCTCAAAGACAAAGCCGTCTTGGACTACATATGTACCGTTTTGGGCTACGAAGAACAAGAGAATATTAACAAGAAGTGGTATATTGAATTCCGGAGTCAAGTTCGAGTGTTTTTGGTTAGGCTTCGTACGAGATGGAACCAGGTTAAAAGGTCAAAAACGAGGTTTCTTGCCAAGTTTTCTTCATGGCTTCAAGAAGATATGTATTTCTCAGAGCCAACTGCTCAGGAATATCCAGGTAGACCAAAAAAAAACTTTAATGATCTCACATACTCGGCAAAACAAAAGAGAGTTTCATATTTAGTAGACAATTACTCTTATGAAGAGCTTGCGTTTGCCACAAGAATGAGCTTGAATGCGTGTGGACTTCGTGATGTTGCAAATGTGGTTAAAGAAGTAACAGAATGTTCACCTGATAAGGCTAATGAAATTAAAAAAAGTATTCAGTATTGTCCTGATCAATGCATTCAATATACAGGTAGTGAAGCGTTATCTCTATATGTTGACGCACATT